TAAAGTTTCAGTAAAAGAAACATTGGAACTTATCCTTAATGAAGGAAGCTTCTCTATATCTGATGATGTGTGGGTAATTGACAACGAGGAAACGTGCATATTGGGAACTGGCTTCAGCCAAAAATCATCTACCATGATTGTGTTGGTGAGAGAATGGTCAATATGGCAACTCAAAAAAAAAAATTGTTAGTGGAAAGCAAACCTACTGAGAAGCCCAGGGATTCTGTTTACACCACTTTCAGAGGATAAACAAGGATAGCCACCAGCAGATTTGCTTGGCCACCTGCTCAGGGATAACTCCCCAAGTGACAGGACAGCTAGTAACAACATGGGGACAAGAGGATGTCCTACTTGTATAGCATAATCTTTGAAAAACAAAAACGATCATAGGAAATTGATGAATGAACAGCTTAGTAGAGTGTTTTCATTTTGTATTGTATTAGGATTGGTGAAGGGGCTTCTTCACAATCCAGGAAGGAAGCAGCGTTGTAAGCTACACTTTCAATGTTTTAATTTAGATGTTTTCTAGAGTGAGCTTCTATGGCATTTGGCTATAGGAAGATTATAACATAACTACAAGTGAAGAATTCAGTGAGTAATAAGTATTGAGTAATAAGTTCAGAACAAGTCAGTCAGTTCAATGTCAAAGAGGTTATTCAGTGAGAGTTATCACATCTATTCTGTTATTCAATTATTTAGCAAGTTACATGTTTCTCTATTAAATTAGGCATACATCTCTCAGTTTATACTGAAAGTTTATGTGAAGTTAGACCTACATGTGAATGTGGTTGTGACAAATATTATTGTTACGTGGACTGGACCTGGCATTATTTTTACCAAATAATCCAAACGGGTTCACCTAAGTGCATAAAACTGTATTACATAAAAGTAATTATGAACAAACTGTTAATAAAATTCTTATTATAGTTATTTACGTTAAATTTTAAATTATGCACCAATTTTATAGCTGAAAACCAAAATATTTTTATCACAACTATTATAACAACATTATTAAGATAAACTAGGACACCACAGTAAATGACAAGGATTACTGTTTTATAATTGTTTTCAATATCTAATATGATATATAATTGCATTTGTTTTGTTAAGAAGTTAAGCACAAAGCTACACAATGGGCTATCTGTGCTCTGTCCACCACGGGTATTGAAACCCAGTTTCTAGCGTTGTAAATCCGCAGACATACCGCTGTGCCACTGGGGGGTATAATTGCATTTATAAGACATTACCATATCACATTAATGTGTGATCATTTGAAAAAATATTTAAAATCTTAACTTCAAAATTAAATTACATTAGAATAAGTTAAAAAAGCTCTTAAGCAAATTAAAAGTGCTAAGGCACGAGAATGGAATGAATTACATGTACAGTTGTTCAAAAACAGGAGTGAGGTTTTACTCAGCAGAATTCTTTAATCATTTAATGTAGAATGGAGAACTGTAAAGATTCCACAAGAATGGAGTAAGGCCATAATATGCCCTAATTGTAAAAGTAACATTAGACATGATTGTAAGAACTATAGAGAAGTATCCTTACTACCTCTTACTGGGAAACTGTATGAAAGAGTTCTGGAAGGAAAACTGAGAGAATGCGTAAAGCAAGAACTTGGAGAATGGTATTATGGCTTCAGAATAGGGAAAAGCACTACAGATTTGATATTTACTCTCAAAATTCTGATGTAAAAATCCTGGCAATGGAACATATTCAGTTTATGGCACTTTTAGACCTTGAAAATGCATTTCATAAGGTGACGAGAAGGAAAATATGAAAGTCTTAGACTGCCAAAGATATAACTGGAATTGAAGAGAGAAGTGATTAGTCTCTATGATAACAATGTGAAGATGGTTAAGTCAGAATAGAACAATGAGAAATTGTTTGATATTAGATGTTGTGTAAGACAAGGCAACATTATATCTATATTGTTGTTTATAATATACATGGATAAAATAGTAAAAGATAAATTGTCAAAATGATGAGAATAGCGTAGTACTGATATACACTAATGATGTTGTATTGGTTGGGGAAAATATGGAAAGCCTGCAGAATGCAGTTCATAAATTTAATAGAGGAATGGAGATAGAAGGAATGAAACTGAATGCAAATAATTATGTAGTAACAGTACTTTCTAGGCAGGAAAGAAATTGTGATATATGGGTTAGTGATCATCAGTTGAAAAAGGTTGAAAAGTATAGGTATCTTGGTGAAACCTCAATAGTGGAAGATTGATAGAGAAAGATAAACCAAGTAATTGCAAACTATAGTTAAAACCTGGGAATGTTCTTCCCTTTAATTAAAGAAAATGAAATACCAGTAAGGGTAAAAGTTATCAGTTATAAGACCATTACTGATACGTGGCTCGGAAACATGGGTGTTATAACAGGCAGCAGAGATGAAAACTTTGAGACTCATATATGGAGTTACTCATAGAGATAGAATAAGAAAGGAGGATATAAGGATATAAGATATTGGAGTGAATTCATTGCTGGAACTTATAGAGAAGGTAGTTGAGGTGGTATGGACATGTCAAACAGATGGATGAAGAGATGTGCTCGAAGAAATGTATCGAGTGGATACCAACTGAAATAAGGCCCACATGAAGACCAAGGGTGAAATATTGAACAAGCAGTTGGAAATAAAAGAACAACACTGGAGGTGGTAGAGGAAGACAGGAAGAAGAATTTAAAAAACAACAACATAAAATACAGTTACCTTTGACGCTTTGTCAAGTACTTCAAGAGCTTTTTCAAGACATTCCTGTGCAAGTAAAATAAGAACTTTTACTCAACTTTTCTTGGTAACATATGAGAACTTCTATAAATGGCAACAACCATTATTAAAGACTTATTTAAAAGCAACTTAATACATCATATTGAAAATTTCATGAATAAAAATTCAGTGATCATAAGCTGATAAAAAGCTCCAAGAAAATACTCATTAAATGATAAAACCACTGGTTTGTTAATGCTCTTTTAAAACTAAATTTGTATAGAGATTAATGCCATTGAATTGCATGAATGTATGTTCAATTAACATCTCAACATCCAAACATATCTATGTGCATAGCTAATAGTTATAAAATCAAAGTATATATTTCGTATAACAATGATAAATCAGTTTCTTTTTTATTTTCAGCTAAAATTAAAAAAAATACTGAAGATATCAAAATCAGTATAAATAATTAATAATAACTTCTAATCATATCAAGCTTCCTATTCATATCAAAATCATTTTTTCATCATTATGAACACTCACTGCTAATAATGGTTTGGTTTGTTTCGAGTTCTTCACAAAGCTACATGTGGGCTATCTACGCTAGCTGTCCCTAATTTAACAGTCAAAGACCAGAGGGAAGGCAGCCAGTCATCCCCACCCACTACCAACTCTTAGTCTACTCTTTTACCAATGAATAGTGGGATTGACCACCCCATGACTGAAAGAGCGAGCAGGTTTAGTAGGACGGGGATTCAAACCCACGACTCTCAGGTTGCGATTCAAGCGCCCTAACCATCTGGCCATGCCAGGCCTACTACTAATAATATACTTAAACTCAAGTGGTCTATCTTATATAGGTTTACCTATTTATTTTATGTCTACTGTAATCATATGTAAAGTTTTATTACAATATTGCCAAGCATATCTTTTGAACGTTCTATTTTATTTTCTAGAAAACATGGAAGTATCAAGAAATAAAATGAAAACCACAAAATAAATATATTTACAATCTTTAAATAGAAATTTCAGTTGCATAAGCTGCGTAAAAATAGCTTTTAGCTAAAAAAATGTTTGTCTGTATCATACAACGGAATTATTTAATACTTCAAAACTAGATAAAGCATGGACAAATACTAAATAATTTTGCAACAAAAAACATGTACTGATGGAAAGTGCAGCTGGTCTCGTACATATATTGTAAATATTTTTTGGAAGATTGTTTTAACTCTTTGGGCTTTTAAAGTTTATCTTAAAAAGAAGAAAATGAAGTCCATTTCACCAATTTATATGAACAATATTTAATTGAAAACTGTACTTACAACTTTTGTCAATTCTGTGAAATTCATTTTCAACTTGTTCACAAGATATGGAAAAAATTAACAATTTAAAATTAGTAAGTATGTGGGTTTAAAACTATTTTATGATAATATTATCAGAAACAATTCTGCACCTTTTTATTCTGTGGAGGCAGTTCTTTTGCAACATCTCGAGATTTAACATATGACATTCTTCCTTCATTGTAGGATATAGAACCTAACCATTTTCTTTCTTTAAACACCTGTAAGAAAAAAAATTATGGGAAGAAAACTCCATTCAAAATTACTTTTGAGTATTCAAAAATTAATATTTGTAGTCCATTGGGGTTTAAATAATTCATCTGAACACATCAACCGTGATTTTTCTATAGGTAGATATGTACAGATGAATGTGATGTTTCATACCTACTAAAGATTTGACACATAACTGATTATAATCAGGAAAAACATTAATGCCCAAGCTCTAAAAGATTACAAAAAACATGCTTATGTCAGTTTCCAAAATTTTCATTAATACAATACGTTTTTAATGACATTGGTTTTTACATAACACTAATAAAACAAATGACAAAAATACACGTGATTTTCAGTGGTTCAAAATTTAGGCAATATCTAAAATTTACTTTAAAACCATGGATTAATAAACACAGGTATCAGCTAAATTTAATTTTAAAACAATTTACAATAAGGTATTCTATTAAAATCATAAATAATATTCAACGTTACACTAGTACACAATTAAAAACATTTTATTTAGGCCTATCTATGGCCTTCAAAAAGTTGACGTCTCTACATGTTTTGACGTTACAATGTCATCCTCAGGAGTGAATTACAAGACAATTGCCAAAGTATCTATAGCTTGTTAGTAGGTCATT